ATATATATATATATATATATATATGATGTATTGTAACCCTAAAGGGATCTTGAACTTTTTTGTGAATTGAAAGAAAAGTCGCCGCTCTGCTTCCGATGACGTAAACATCTTTGCTGGACCTTGTTAAATCTCTGTGTTTTCTTTTTGGATTTGAGTCGATTCTTACATTTCCTTGCCCTAAAATTCTCAAAAATTTATATTAAAATATACAAAATTAATATTTATAAAACTATTTATAAATTAATATATAAAACTATTTATAATTTAAATAAATTTAGGTATATATTAATGTATTAAAACAATATTATTAAATACTTAATATTATATATAGTTTAAGTATGTTCATAAGTTTAACATTTACTAATTTAAGATTAATATTTTTTAAAAACCGCGTGAATAACACCACAATAACATCTGAATACTACCATAAAGAACACCACAAATCAACGGCTGACAAAAGGCGCAAATAATACCGTAAATAATACAACAATAATACTTGAGTGCTACCACAAATAGCACTACAAACCACTGCGAATCAACGTCTGACAAAACCACGCGAATAATACTGTGAATAATACCACAATAACACTTGAAAAACTACAACAATAACCATCGCGAATCAACGAACATGCAAATAACACCACAAATAACATCAAACGCCTATTGTGCAAATAATACCGTGAATAACCTCATCGTATATAATTTATATCATATTTGAATTACAATTTGAATTTGAATATTGACTGATATTTACATTATAATTTGAATTTCAGTATATGCGGTAATTGGTTGGTTGACTGGCCTGAAGTTAGTTGACTGAGGCGACTGACTGAGTGACATCAGTGCCCAATGAAGTGCACGTTGGTCGATCGAGGTGCTTGGCTGCATGATGATCTTGATTGGTGTCTTTTAGCATGGTCGACGAGCGCAGTCGATTGTGAGATGACCGTTCGCTCCATACGTGGGGTTGGTTGGTCGAACGTGATCGTTCTGCTTTTTTTCATTGAGTGAGTTGTGGCTCCATTTCCTTTTGACTCTAGTCTTACAGGGCTCGTGTCTCTTAGGTAGATCTTATCGCAACTTATGTGGGGTATCCGACGAGACTCGTTGTCATAATGATTTACATCTCACTTTTTTCATATCTTGCTGCTACCAAGCGAGGAACCATCTCCAGAGTTCGAACCTATCCCAGGTACGGAGATGTGGCTTCTTGCTCGACCTTTGATCTTGGTCATTAGATCTCTTTTGAGATTAGCATTGGTATTTTTGGTGTGTGTGTGTGTGTGTGTGTGTGTGTGTGTGTGTGTGTGTATCACTCAAAAACGTTTAAGTTTATATGTATAATATGTATAATATGTAAATATTATTATTTATTATCTAGCATTCATTAAAGAAATTGACTAAGATTAGACGCCCATCAAAAGTCTAAAGATCTGTTTAGGGCAACTTATAGGTGGTGTTTTGAAAACGCTGTCGTACCGTTTGATTCGCAAGCTTCACCAGCTTATCCGAAATTGCGTTTGAGTTTTTACACTAAACGCATGCCACTGGTCGACTTCTACGGCCGGCCCGCAAGCCGCATTTCAAGATAAACAGCTTATCCAGAAACACACAAGCTGCCCCAAACAGACCCTAAAACTTCAATGCCAACTAGAATGAAGACAGCTTAGTGTTATAACTATTTTCTATTATTTTGACATTTCATAAAAAATGGTTATAATTTAATTTTGTATGAGCCCCACACCAAACATAAATGATAAAATACACAACAACAAGACACCTATCGCCTATCACCATAAAAACATATCCTGCAAACGACACTTTGAATTATTTGTTCTAATTATTATACAACCCCCACCCGTTCACAAACAGTAAAAATCAGTAAAAGAAAGTATACCAAGTTCTAAACCGCAAACGCTAAAACGCCAACGCTAAAACAAACGAACAAAAACAACTTACGGTTACAACTCCACAAATTACAGAAAAAGAACCCATGGACGGCGGCCGCTCGCCGCCTCAGAACCCGATTCCGGCGGCTCCGATGGGCCGATGACGCTCTTTCCAGAAGCAAGCATCAGGTGCAAGCCTCGCGGACGACCTCACCGGCTCCGACTTGCACCTGGTCAGCACCAACGGTTCGTACGGCGCCACCGCCGCCTGACGAGCCGACAGCTTATGCTGCACCGCCGGAGATTTCACGGGATCCGGCAACGGAGCCACCAAAACCACCGTCGCCGCGACTTCGGGAGCCTCATTTTCCGGCGGTGGTGGCGCGGCATTGTTGTCGTCGACGGTGGGGGGCTTCGCAGGCATCCGGTTGCGGGGATTTTGAGGGCGCCACCGGAGGAAGTCGTTACCGCAGACCCAGGTCTCTTTGGAGACCTCCATGGAGAGCTTAGGCTCGTACATCATCATCAATAGGCAGTCGGGAAGCTCCGTGCATTCGGCCACTTCGCCCTTCTTCTCTTCTTCTGCTTCATGTTTTTCCTCAGCAGTCACTAGCTCGTCACTCTCTGCTTCTCCAGCGGTTTCCCTCACTTCTTCTGGTGTTACTTCTTTTTCTTCCGGATAAGCTTCTTTAGCCGAGAATGCTAGAGATTGTATATGATCGTTTGGCTCCAAGTCCGCTTTTTCTAAGGAGAAGCTCCATCTCCTCCCTCTGTCAAAGGAGAAGCTTGCTCTCTTTGTTTCTCTTTCTGACGAGAAACTGTGCCTCCTTGCGTCGAGTTCAGAGGAGAAGCTATGCCGTTTGGTATCCTTCTCCTTCCCGCGCCTCCTTCCTCTCTCCTTAGATCTGGAAGATATGGCTGTACCGAATCTTCTTTCTTCCATGACTCTTGTTATTCCCTCTGCTTTCTCTTCTTTCCTCTCCGTCAAACCAAGAGATTTGTTTCCTACCGATTTCTTCTCTTGATTTTGCACTCCTTTTGCTTCATCTTCCGAGGGTTTTAACTGCAAGACAGCAGATCCACATGAAAGCTCTTTCTCTCCTGCGATACAGGTTTCTTCTATCAGCTGCTGTTCTTCGTCTATTACTCTGTTTTCTTCTTCTGTAGTCTTTTTACAGCCAACTGCTTCAGCCGGTACTCCAGAAAATTTAACAGCATCTCCTTTTTCCTGATCCAGCAACGGCTTTTCACCATCTTCTTCTATTTTATGCTTGCTATCATGCTTTTCTATCTCTTCATCCACTTCTATTTTCTCTTCCTCTACCTGCGCTTCTTCACATAGAGGCTTAGTAACGGGAGATCCCCAGAACCTGTTAGCCAAAGCTGCCATTTTTACTGGATCCGACCTACACCTCATCAATAGCAAAGCATTTCTCGGAGGAATACAGACACTCACTCTGGCCGCAGCCGCCTCCTCTCCACCTTCTCCATTGTCACCCAAAACCAAAATATCTCCTTTATCCCCTCCCATGTTTCCCACTTCCTCAATATCCACCTTCTCCTCCCTCTCCCTTACCAAAAACCCAACCTCCACTGTCTCCCCTCTCTTCACATCCTCTTCGTTCTCCTGAACCGCCAACAACCACTTAGCCATTACCGCTCCACATGAACTCGAGCTCGCCGACTTCACCATCCTCGTCTCAGCTACCCCCTTCTCCTTCGCTGCTCTACCACCGCAAGGAACAAAACAGCTGAACTCCGAACCAATACCCCTCAATGCCTCGCAGATGCTCAGCGGAAGCTGATGAACCCAACTTTGATTCCTCCCAGGGCAGCACTCCCTTGCTCTCTGCGACCTTGACCTCGCCATTTTTGTCGATTTCACCTTCTTCTTAGCCTTGACGCGAACCTGCCCGATGCAGGTAACTTTGGGTGAGGAAGGCTCGGCGGCTTCAAAGGAGCAACCTTTTTTCCTTCCGGCGAGTGGAACGCCGGAGGGAAACATCGGGGACTGGCCGCCCTTAACGCTGCCGCTACTGCGGAGGCGGCGGCTGAGAGAAGCGGAGAGCGCCGGCGCTGACGATGGGTCGCGGCCGCGGCCGGGGCTCATGAGGGCTTTTGTGGAGGGAACGCGTTTGGTGGTAGAGATAGTGGAAGTGAGTGATGAAGAAGAAGGTCTGGCACTGAAGCAGATGAAGAAGTCACCCGCACCGCCGGAGGAACTTCTGCTTTGGTGCGGATGGGATCTTTCTACGGCCTCCATTGTTGCCCTTCCCTTCTTCTTCATGTGCTTAATGCTATTCCGAATAAAGAAAGAGTTGTGCAGAGCCACGAATAAAAAATGCTGAACGGAAAAAGGGTATCAGGGCAAATGTGTAAAACACTGAGGCAGAAATAAGGCTGGAGAATCGACCAGCTTAAAGATAAAAACAATGCAACGGAAACAAGGCTTAAATTAGGGTCCTAAATTAAAGGAAAATAGGATCTACGAATTTAGCTTATTTAGGATTATCTGTAAAAATGAATTTGAGTGCGTTTAGGATGAATTTAAGGTATATTCAGGTATTTCTGATTTGTTTAAATTGAAAAGACAATTTTATTTGAAATAATTGTCATTGCAAAATTATAAAAAAATGATAATAGGGTAGAAATGTGTATTATTGTTGTGTGAAGAGAAATTTGTGGCGGTAAATTGATAATTTAATGTCTCAATGTTGTACCAAGATTTATTATTCTCAGATAAAAGAAAAGTAGCGAAAGTTGATACCTTGATTGTTTATGTGAAAATTTTCTAAAAAAAGAAATAAACACGGGGTCTAGCTAAATCAAGTTAATCCATTGTATTTGTAAGTATGAATGTCCATCTCATGAATTAGAAAAAAAGAAATTGTAAAGCTGATAATCATAGAAGTTGTTTAGCCAAAATAGTCATATCATACTACAATAAAGATAGTTCTTGGCTATAATAATAATAGTTGGTCACAAAGGACATAGCTGGTGGCTGCAATAGTGATGATTGACTGCAAATATAGTGGTTCTAAGCTATAATAGTAGTAGTTGACCAAAAAGGTCGTAGTTGGTTATTGCACATATAATAGTTTATAAAGGCGTTTGTAAGAAGTTGCAGTATCATTAGTTGGCCACAAAGGCTATAGTTGGTGACTGCGATGACGTCAGTTGGCCACAAAGATCGTTGTTAGAAGCAGTAATAGTAGTAGTTGACCACATAAATTGTAGTTGGTGATAATAAATGTGTTAGTTAGCCAAAAAGATCATAGTTGGTAACTTTTATATCGCCAGTTGATCATAAAGGTCGTAGTTGGATGTTGGTCACATATGTCATAGTTGGTGACCACAATACCTTAAGTTGGTCATATATGTCATAGTTGGTGATTGCAATATCGTCAATTGATTATAAAAATTGTAATTGGCCACTAAAATAGAGTTAGATCACTACAGAGACCATAGTTGGTGATTGTAATATCACTAGTTGGTCACACATGTTATAGTTGGTGACTACAATGACATTAGTTGGTCGTAGAGCCTGTAGAATGTGAACAGTGTCGGTTGGCCACAGATGTTGTAGTTGGAGATTGTAATATAGTTAGTTGGTTATAGAGGTCGTAGTCAGAGACGTAACAATAGTAATTGGCTACATGAGTCGTAGTTGGTGACTGATATATTTTCAATTGGCCACATAGGCCCTAATTGGTGGCTGCAATATCATTAGTAGGCCACAAAGAGTATAATTGATGACTTAGATAGCGTTAGTTGGTCACAGTGGCTATAGTTGATGATTGAAATAGTTTTAGTTAGTCATAGATGTCACAGTTGGTGACAACAATATCATTAGTTGGCCACATAGGTCGCAATTGGTGGCTGCAATAACATAAGTTGGTCATATAGGTTGTAGTTGGTGACTGAACCTGTTCTATAAGGGAGAACAACATTACATTTTTTTTACTAAATATTGCATTTATATTTATATAACATAAAAAAAATATCGATGGTAGAAACAACCATTTTATTCTAACTACAACGGTCGTAAGTCGTGGTCGGTGGTCTGCGACAATAAGTGGTGAAGATTGCGCTAGTAGACAATGGTTGGAGGCTACAGAGGCTAGGAGTTATTACCCAACCTTCAATATATTACAACCGTATTCGAGCTATGACATTTACAAGCAATGTTCATCGACAACCATAGGTCGGTTGTGCCAAGTAGGGACGATCGACCACGGTGTACAATGATCGATGACTGTAGTGTCGGTCGCCATATTGGAATTTTTCGGTGCTTTCAAAATAATTATATATATATATATCTGTGTTTGTGTGTGTGTGTGCGGGTGTGTGTGTAGAATCCAAATTTTGAAAAATGAAACTGCATAGATATCAAATATTTAATAGTTTAAGTAACTGAGCACAACACTACAAATGATCATCACCTTGAAAGGTAAGCACATCACTTGACAACGAGCTTGTTTTTATAAATTAAATAATTTATGAAATTCATTTGGTTTGTGAAACCTTTTTTTGTGTTACTGACAATTCCTCTATATAATATAAAGATTATATATGTTTTATTTTCCCTAAGTTCTAAGTTCCCCATAAGGGCAAACTCTTATAGTTAATTGCATCTTAAATGACCGAAGTCATTTAAGAAAACTCTCGATTAAGATCAGTGGTTTTGTCTTCAATATTTTAAAGTTACGTTTTCAAGGTTGGACATGAAAATAAAGTGGGAAATGATCAAATAGGAGCAGTTATTTAGGAATCCAAATGAGTGAAAAATAAGGGATGTCACAGATCCTAAGACGAACTTCAACGACTTCTCAAACTACTATATTATTTGGCTTTACATTTTTATAGATGATATTATTTAAATATTTCAATTCAACAATTTGTTTAAATTTAGGGCTTACACTTAGCATCATATGTTATCATGCAAATAACCTATGAAAATAGGATGACTTATGTAGTACCGAATAACTACCTCAGAATTCTAAAAAGAGTTAGGACTTATATTGCACAATATGACAGTGCAAAAAGCTTAAAAGATAGAGTGAAGATTTACATTGTACTAGAGGAAAAAAGTCGAAATTCTATGGCTTTATGTTTTTTAAAACTAAAGGAAGGATTTACTGAGGTAGATTCGCTTCGTTGTTGAGTGTTTATTGTCATCTGAAGTTGTCCTCAAGCCGCCTGAAGCCAACTCCGAGCTCCTTGTTTAGATGTTTTGGATATTTGTGAGTATGCAATTAATGTTGAGTCTCATAGCCTACTGTAGGGTTTCACCTAGCATATGTCTTACTATTGTCTATCATAGAAGTCTTTGCAAGTACGTTAAATTAAAAATAATGTAAAAGTGCAGTAAAGCGCGGTAGAAGTAAAGTAAATATCTGTGGTGATGGATTTCCTGCCGCTGCTGCAAAAAGAGTTAGGACAATAAAAGTAGCATAGTGATGTACCTGACGTTAAAGGGAATACGAGGAAAACATAGCATATCAAACAAATCAGATGTAACATATAGAAGATTAGATCTGGGTGTAAGAATTTAAGTCATGGGGAGCTCAGAATCTGGACCAGTAGCCTTGATAAATCTTCCAGAAGAACTCTACAGGCAACCATTCACATCATGTATGTAAGACAATGTATGTAAGACCCAACATAGGGTAAAAGGCTACCATCCACGTAATTATAGGAGGGCAATCCTCAACCCGGTCTATGTGACTAGCACATGAATTTCTCAAAAGTCACACTTTTTAAAAGTGAGTTTTAATTTATTATGCAAAATAATTTTAGTGTGTATATATATATATATCATCTGTGTGTGTATGTATATATATTGTATGTATATATATGTCAAACAAAATATTAGTTTCATTCAAAAAGTACATTTTGATATTATATATGTGTATTTTGAAAATTGGACATTTATGAGTCAGTCATACCGACGGGTTGAACTACCCATGAGAGCAAAGGCTAACTGCATAATAAATGTTAGGGAGTAGTAATGTCAATCCTTGACCTTCTTCGGTCCTCAGGTTAGAATATGCAATACTTCCCACATACCTAGATGCTTTTCACATCATTGCTCTTACCACAGAGATCACCAACTTACACCATCCCGATGATCCATACGTAGCCATTTTAAATGTCCCCAATTGGTAAAAGAGTTTGAGTGTAATGTTCAAACATAAACCCTTAAGCATTGGGTATTTCCCTAAGTTAAGTTGTAACAGAAGTTTTCATTGATGTGATTTAATTAAGAGAGTCCTGAATCATAGCTTGGTGTTTCCTTATGTTTGGCGATGACTTTCTTCAACAAATTGTAGCAAACTCAAATGTCTTATAAAATATCTAAATTCTTGCAAGGGTGTTTAGAGAGTGACTCTGGACAACCTTAGAATCTCTTGAATTATCTCAAGTTCATTTTGGTCTTAATATGTTGTTAAATTAATCATCCCATGTTGAATTATTATTTTTTAGAATGAACCGATTTTTTTATGTCTTAATTGACCCATAAGTGAGGGCAAATGATGACTTCAATGTTTAATAGAGATCTACGTGAATAGAATCCTCTTGGGGATGTGCTTTAACATAGAATTATACACTTTTACCTTTAGTTGGGTTTGAGCTTGTAGTGTTTTCAAATGTTTCAAGTTCATTTGTGTTTTTTTATTAGCTACTCATAAAGTGATATTAGATCAAACCTAATTCACTACTAAGCTCTTAAGGCCTAAGAGTAAACTTGTAATTTTGGAAAATTTTGTAAAAGTGCTTGATCTTGATTGAAAGGAATTGAATTTTGTTTCCTATTAGTTCATGGTTTAAAAAATGAATTGTGAACTTCCTAACCCAAACCCCTCACTTTGAATCTTCCACGCTTTCATTTCTTTCTATTCACAACAATTCAAATAATTAAAATTTTGTCCTATTCTAGAAATTGTCGTGAATGAGTTGCTACCCAATTACCCTTAGGCTTCTATTATTTCAGAGAATTGCTCATCATTATTTAATGCCATACGCTTTGCTTTATCCTAAATATTAATTAAATTAAGGCTAAGGTGTTAAACTCCTAAAATGCCCATAGGGTTTCTACCTCATAACTCTTACATTTTTTACTCAAAAGATCATGAAAGTTTACTGATCAATTACTCAAGAGCCAATTAAGACACCAAAAGAAAAATTATATTTTTTTAATATTTATTTATTTTCTGAAATTAATTAAACCCCTAATTGTGAATTTCTTATGCTATTTAATCTGACTTTCCAAAACATACTCTCTATCTTAGAAAATTTTTATAGTGTTCCCCAAAGTTAGAGGCTCAATCGAAGCAATTTTGGTGATTTTTTGAAAAGTATTTTAATTTCTATGGTTTTTAAATGATTGTCGGGAGTAAAATAATTAAAAAATATTTTTTTAATTTTAAAATAAAATTTCATTTTTTTCTTGATCCCTCTGACCTCAGAGAACCTATCAAATTTAATGTCATATTTTTTTTATTTTTATTTTCTTTTTTATTAATATTTTAAATTG